TTTTTTTTTTTTTTTTTTTTTTTTTTTTTTTTTTTTTTTAACTTTTTACTTTATCAGCAATATGCATGACCACAAAAAGTACAAAAATTATCTGGAGAAGTGAAAGCCATTCATACGTGGCCTTTGCTCTCCTACCTTACTCATCTGAGTCATCTTGAACATTTATGTTTTGTAATACACTTAAAATAATCAAACAGCCATTAGTCAGAAAGGCTAATGAAAGATTCACTAGAAAAGGTAGAAAACGTGAGAGCAAAGTATATTCACTGAACAGCTGCAATTTCAGGCATAAGATACATAGGCCTATGCTAGCCACTAGGCTGCTGCTTCTTCCGTGTGTTTGAGAGACTGAAATATCTTTTTGTCATTAATTGGACACAGTGTTATATAGCAAGGTATGTCCTTTCTTAATCAGTATGTAGCCTCTTCTGTAGACATAATTCAATTAGACATTAATTCAAAATTAATGTATGCTGCCTACATTTTTGTCATTATGGTTTATGGTAGTTATATGTTGTGTTATTTTTGTTTTATTTCAGGTTAAACTAAAAAGAGTTGGGAATATCTACAAGATAAGAATTGAACTTGGTGAATTACTGAATAAGCAGTCAGAGTGGAACATACAAAGGGTAAGATTTTTATGATAAATCCTTTTATGCTTCATTAGTTTTTTGTATGGACTAAAAGCCCATCTTTTCATGAAGCTATAGCTTCATGAATCAAAACATGCTTTATGTGGTACATTTTTATTGCCTTGTCTTTGGTTGCTTGTGAGACAACAGAAGCACTGACACAGTCTCCCAAAATGAACTTCTGAACTTGTTTGCAATTATTCTTTTAGTGTATTCCAATTTTAGTAATATAGGTGGCTTATGTAGTTTTTCTTCCTACAAGTTCACCTGTACTCCTAGAAGTTTGCATCTATAGCTACTTCACAGCTATAAATTCAACTATGAAAAACTGACAGTGATTGAGCAACAATTATTTTGTGACAAGTGCATGCAAAGAATGATCAAAGTTTAAGTATAAACTCATTATAATTGATGCAAATGTAATTCACAATTATTTTCAAGGAAAAAGAAACTACTGCTTTGAATTCAGAGTTATTTCTTCTTTTCTGCTTCTATTCCAGCTCTACTGTTCCTATGATAGGAACATTTGTCAGATTAAATTAATACTAATTCCTGAAAACACTGACCTCCATGCAGGATGTCTTTCATAATTGCGGATAAATATTTGTCTTCTGTTTCTTATTTTGAATCTGTAAAAGACATAATCTTATTCTTTGGCTTTTCAATTATCTTAAAAAAAAGACTGATTTAGAGATCCAGTATTACAGAGTAATAAGAGACTTTGACATTCATCCAAAGCCCTTAACTGTAACCCCACCGTAACCATGTATGCGTAAACATTTCAGTTGCTGAAATAATTGCAGGAATCTTAATTTCCATCCTGGTGGTTACAGCATATTTCTTCAACATTTGGCTTAAATTTCCTAGAGTGACTCTGGCATTATTTATGCAAGATGAAATACATTATGTTGAAAGCTGTGTTATCTGACCAAGCAGTTAATATTCGCTATTGTTACGAATCAGCAGGGGGAGCTCTGCCAATAAACATTAGAGATTATGAATCTGCTGCAGAAATATTTCTTGTTAGAATAAATACGTGGATTCTTTGGATTAAAGAAAGTGGGTTTTTTTTACTGAATATTTTAGTGGAAAAAGTTGATGGAAAGACATTATCCTGATTTCTTAAGTATTGGAATGCAAACGTGAATACTTATTTTCATAATGGTTCAGAAAGCTTACGTCTGCTATATCCACGTTGAAAAGAGGCAGTTTTCTGCTACTGATTTCCTTTTGCTCATAAAGGCCTATGGAAAACTGCAGTAGGCACTACAAATACCAACAGAAACTACTCCCACAAAAGAAAAAGAAAAATTGCTTTAGTTATAGGAACTAAGTAAAGCAGCAGTTACAATGTACTGTGGATAACAACTAGAGAATTTAAATTTTTCCTAGGAATAGGGAGGGTGTTGGCACTGTGATTTATTTATTTATTTTTTTTCCTTTTCCACTATAAAAGCCAAATACAATGTGAATTGGTTTAATATTTCAAAATATCTTTCTGCACCTTGGTAAAGAGAAAACAGTTGATGACTTCCATTTCCATTTTAATATGAAGGCATTAATCTTTCTATGTCTTCCAAATACATGGTCTGCCTTAACCTCTCTATTAGAAGTACTCTAGACAGTGTTATGCATAGAGGGGGCCTGCTGACAGAAATTACAATAACTGACATTCCTTATGGCAGAAATTTTATTTACAATTTTAAACTTTTATTTAGATTTGTTTGCTCCAATATTAAGTTGACTTTAAAGTTCAAGACATTTACAAAGAACATAATCTGGCAGTTTCATTTGAGATACGAATATGGATCCTCTGTAGTGATGAGTAAAGTAGTAAAATGGTAGCTAAAATAAAAAAATGTTTTCATACTGCAATTTTGTATGTCGTTTTTACTCATCATATTATTTTTTTCTGAAGTAGAAGAAAATATATAGAAAATATATTTTTCAATGGAGAAGCAAAACACTGGAAAGAGTCACGGTTAATCTGTTTCTTCCTTAGGTGACACTGCAACATCTGATGAGCAAGAAAACTCTGAATTTTCCAGCAAACACATGGTTGTCAAAGAGTGATGATGATAGGGATTTTGTCTGTGAGCTTCCATTAGTGGAAGCTGGAAAACCTATTTATCCAAGTACGTGTGAACATCACAGTTCCATATGTATTGGTTACTTGGTTTTCAGTATTACTGTCATCTAAATTATTTTCCATCTGCTATATGTCCATAAATGTGGCCTTAGCAACCTCGGAAACAAGCAGATTGAGTTCTGGAGAATATATTCCAGTAAAGTAATTACAAATCATACTTAGCAGTATTGTTTCCATTAAGCTGGAATGGTGAGTAAAATGAATTGTAACCGCACTTAACATATTTTTTCTTTTGGTTAAATTTGGAAGTTATTTTATATCATGTTAATGTCTACACGGGTGACTTGGAGCAAGCTGACACGGATTCTCCAGTTTATCTGTGTATCTTTGGAGAAAGAGGAGATTCTGGTCAAAGACTTCTGCAGAAATCTGGTATCCCAGTGAAATTTTTGAGAGGAAAGGTAAGTCTGAAACAATTTTTTCATCTATATACATATAATTAAGTAGCTCTTATTGATTTTAAGTGTTCCTAATAAAGAAAAGATCATAGAATCATAGAATCACAAGGTTGGAAAGGACCTGCAAGATCATCTAGTCCAGCTGCCCTTCCATCACCATAACTACCACAAGCTTCTAAACCATATCTCATAGCTCCTCCTATCTCATCCAGATGCCTCTTGAACACTACCATCAGTGTCAGATCATAGAGGTTTAGCAAAATAATACCTAATAGCTAAGCAAAATTTTTACTAATCCAGGAGGTCAAAGGTGTAAAGGTAGTTGAATGCTGACTTGAACAATATGTTTTAATCCCTACCACAAGTATTTGCCCAATATCATAGAGAATAAAGAAAACCTTTCCTAAATGCCCACTTCCTGTATGCATCTGCTTTGCTGCAGAACCAGTTAAAATTTTCAGAGCAGCTACAGCTGTAACAGAGGTTTGAAGTGCATTCTGCTCTATACATAGCAGGTTCTTTCAAGTGCTAAATATGCTGATAAATTAACCCCTCTGTTTCTCAGTTGAGCACCCAAACTCATTTGCATCTTAGATGTTACTGCCAAAAGCTGTGAATGTTTTAACTCTGTAGGTAAAACAAAATATTACACAGATGTGTTTTGTGGAAAAATAGATGCCAGTGTTGGCAGAAAACACCTAGGTACTATAAGTAATTCACTAGGGAAATCAGTTCTGCTTCAGTGGACTCTTTGGTGGTTGCTGTAAATAATGCATAGAGCCATAAAGATAATGAAGATAAAAAGAAGTATTGAAAAGCTGCAGCTCTGCCTTTGTACAATTTGAGGCAGGGATCCTTCAGAAAGTATGGCTTGTGATCATATATTACAGATACACAAGGGAGAAGTGAAGCTGCACAGTCTTAATTCTGCCATCTGCCAAGGACTGAGAACTTTACAGATATGAATTTTCTGATGTAGTTCATTCCTTCATTTTGCTTTTACTGAGAAATGTGATTTGGACAGTTGCATTCTGAGAGACAAAGCCATATGCTGCTTATTGTGACAAAAATTTCCAAGCAGAACCTTTCACTTGCTCAGCTTCATGCTCTTATTACAAAAAGCTTTGTCAACTGTAAGCACAAGTCTAAGAGATTAATAAGGGCAAAGTGGTATATCAGATTCTAGTTTTGCTGAGCAAAATAGAACGTAAATAGCAGAGATGAGACCAAAAAGAGCAAAGGATGAAAATGACTATTTAAAATAAGCATTAACAAGGGAAATAATTGCCTGAAGGGGTTCTTACTTCAACAAGAATTGTTGTAAGCTGTGATATACTGAGATAATAGTGCAGAGCTGTGGGCAGCATTCTGGATGATGGATGAAAAATCCCCACAGTTAATTTGGGATTATTATTGCATTCTGATTTTTAGTTGTATTTCTCATTTGGTCTGATATGTAACCAAAAGACATTTACCTTTAGAGTACAACCCCTTTGACACAATTCAACTACCTGTAAAACCATTGGGGCATCATAAGAGTCGGATCAGGCTTTTAAATGCTGATACTTCCAGATTGTTTTAACGTTGCAAATTATGTAGTGCTCTCTTCTCCTCTGTCTCCTAGGTCAATGCTTTTGAAGTGAAAGCTGTATCTCTTGGAAAGCTGCAGAAGGTGCTGTTGCGCTGTGAGGCTAATTCAAAGTCTCAGTATTGGTACTGCGATAAAGTCATTGTCAGAGAAGATGAGAATAACTCTGAATATGTTTTCAATTGTGAAAGGTAGTTTTTACAAGAATTATCTTAAATATAGGATAGATTCCCAAGAGTGTCTATCATTTCAGTAACAATATTTTGCCAATAAGAAATACTAAATATGATTTTTCTTCCAGGAAAAGACAGAATTGGACTAATTTGCAGTTTTATAAAATCTACAAAGTGTGTTGCTTCAGAATAAACTGCTTGAGTTCATAAGATTAAATTATTACAGTGTGATGTGGTTACTAGATTATATAGTGTACCTCATCATACAAGAATTAGTGCTATAAATGTGGCTTACATTTCAGAATGTATTTTAAACTAAAATGTATTTCTAAATAGGAAAGAAAACAGAATTGAAATTCAGAAGTAGCATTCATTCTCAGCTCAGAGTAACATCTGTCCTTGCACGGGTAGCACAGCCTAAGAATGATGCATGCCAAGGCACTTTGCTTTATTAATTCTGCAATAATTACCCTGCTAGATGTTGATCAGTAAAAATTACAGTGGCAGAGAGAGAAAAATTTTAATTCACAGCTTTTCTACAAGGAAGCTCTGCCTCTGAAAAAGGATTAAAATAAAGCAATGGGGCCCAAATGTAAAGCAGAAATACTGTGCTCTGTTCAAGGAGGAGAGCAGCTTTGTGTTTCAGAAATCTCTCTGATGCATCATACCTGTGCTCAGGTTTTAGCAGAAATGGTATAGATAAGCTGCCATCTAGTAAGACAAAAATTGTTTCTTAGGGACTACTTCTTACACAAAGTGGCAAATTTTCAAGTCAAAAATAAGGAACCTGAAAAATTTACAGAATTCCATCAAATAGTTATGTGATTTAAGGTACAAGTTCCTGTGTCCTTTATTCAGGATTTCTTCACAGCTGAGTATTAGTTGTGATACAATAATACAGAGAAATACATTTGTAGCTTTTACAGCAATTTTTATCTGAGAAGTTTCTTTTGGGGAAGTTAGAGAAGAGGGGATTAATAAACATGTAGAGAAAGCAACTGAAAAGCAATGAACTTAATAGGATTGTTTTGAAGTTTACTTTGGGTTTTATTTGTCAGCAAAAGAAGCCTTTAGAAAATAGTGATAATTCTGTAGCTCTGTTCTAAGGATTCTTTCTTTCTCTAATAATATTTTTTTTTTTTTTTTTTTTATTTCCCCTGGAGATAAAATTGCTGGAACATTGGCATTGCACTGATTCGTATTGCACTGATCCTTTTCCTGATGGTTATTATTATTATTATTATTAATATTTTTTGAGTCTGTTCCTGCAGTGGCAGACATGTCTCTGTTCCTGTGTCAGTTTCATACTATTTGTTGGTGTGAACTTGTCAGGTAGGGGCAGTGAGAAAGAGCAGGAGGAGCATCTAGGGACGGAAGTCTGACACTGTCTAGGGATAGACAAGGCTTCAGAAATTTAGCACTTGTTACAGAGCCACTTCTCAGCAGCTGCTGAAAAGGCAAATTTTGGTTTGCACCTTTGATGCATGTAGACCACCTGATAAGCAGCAGAACTGCACAGAGACTGAGGGCTGGGTATGGAGAGTAAGGCAAGGGGAGCTTCTGCAGAAGGGCTGGATGAGCATGTGCTGAATGGCATTTTGTCCTTGCTTAGGGAAATGGGGAACAATATATACAAGCTTTGTATCTTCTTTATAGTCTACTGAGGCTCTTTTGGCCCTGAGGCTCCAACTTTGGAGTGAATTATACAGCTCTTCCTCATTCTGGGAGCAGCACTTTTTTCCTCTTGGCCTCTCTACACACATTCTCTTCAGCTTATGCTGGATTGTAGAGAGCCTTCATAGGAGACTCAATGATTTTGGTCGTTCTTGGAGAGTCTGTGGGAGTGGACCCAGTAAATAAAACCCAGCAGCCCAGAAGCTTAATGAATATATTTTTGTTCTGTAGAAATTGAAGGTTTTGTTTGTTTCTTTGTTTATGAAGCAGGAGGGAACTACAAGAGGTTAGTAACATATTCTGAGTAGAAAGTTTTCAAAATAATCTAATCAAAATAATAGCCTAGTGTAACCCAGCTAAGAGGCCTGCATAACTTTTACCTTCATCCAGTCTTCAGACTCATCTGTGAGTCTTCAGCTGTTTAGGAGAACAAGGAAGCACAGAATTTGATTCCATCTCTGTTTTTAAGAACGAGCTTTGAACTTAAGAAATGGTGAAATAGATACACACAAATTATAAATGGCCCTTAGTCTGGAGAACTGAAATATTTTTCTGCTCCTTTTTAACTATACAAATAATTATGGTTGTGCCACATGAATCTCTTAAAGGACACGGGTATATTTCATTCATATGCAGCTCTTACATTTGCAAAAGTACAATTTCAATTGTTGAGTCAAACCCTTAATTCCCACTTTAACATCTATCAAATAAAATACTAACATTTTTGTATTTACTGTCATATATATTTGTTATGAAAATGAGATGCCAGTAACACAATTATATTGTCTCTGGTGTAGGTGGCTTCCTTTTATGTCCCAAGGTGTAATTCATTCAGAAATGGAGCTGTACCCTCAAGGTAAGTTTTCAGTTTTTATTCTATGGAAGTGTGATCAATAAGTAAGTTGTACTGAAGAACTTTAGGCTGAATTTATACATCAAATATTAGGGTTAACCATTTTGCTGCTTCTTTTTGGTATTTCTAGAAGAATACAGTTTGTATTTACGTTGCATGATGAGTGTAAGTATTATTTGAGGATGTAGTGAGTGAAGGATTGAGATGGAAAATTCTCTCATATTGGCATGAAGATTAGAATCACAAAATGTCCTTTTCATCTTTTCTTTCAAGTCTTTTATTTAATGTTGAAGGATAGACCCTTTACCAACTGCATTTTTGTTCGTTTTTTTTTGGCAGAATTTCAAACAACTCAACAGCTGAAAAGGCAAGAAGCAGCTAATGGTAAATGCTCTAGTCTGGCTTTAATGTAGAGTATTTGTTTCAGAACTAACTGCTTTATGTGTTTCTTGCTGTTTTTATTTATTTTAAAACATTAATTACAGTACTTTGTTTGAATATTTTGGTAAACTCTGAACTTCATATCTTAATTTAAACAATAAATCACTTTGTTTTTCTTTTCCTTGATATTTTTCTTTCCAATGATGTTAATTTTCTCTCTGTTCTCTTGAAAACTTTTTTTTTTTTTTTTTTTAATTTCTGCTCTTTTATTTAAAACTTGAAAGAGAATTTATTTTTCACTCTCCCAGGCTATACATAGGTTTCACTGTTGGCTTTAGATTTTCTGATTTTTACCGGCGATTTCATATTTGTTAAGCTTGATTTTTCTGTCAACCTGACTTCCTTGCAACCAATGCAGATTACATTACGAATCTTAATAGCACATAGCATTTTCTCACTTGTGAGAAGTACTGCAGGTTGAATGACAATTTAGAAGCTGTCAGAAGGAATTTTAAATATATTTATTCATAATATATTATATCAATCAAGATATTTGGAGAGACCAAATAATTTGTTTTAAATAGCATCTCCATGGAAAGTCATTTAACTATAAAGCCTGTTAACAATTACTTTACAAATTGTATTCAAATTCTATTCTTCTTTAAACCTTTTTCTTTGAAGGAAAAATATCTTTGCTTTAGTTCCTTTCCATGCCTCTTTCAGAAGGTGTTCATTTTTAATCTGTTCATCAATCTTTTTCTTACCTGATTTGCCTGCCTCACTTCTGCAAGGTCCGCACCTACAGGTCTGCCTGTACACAGTTAAATGAGTCTCCTTAGTGCTTCCTTAATTTACAAGTCTCTGATTTGTTTCTTTTAAGTTTTACTTCTATGATGTATGTTAAAATCTGTAACAGGCAAAGACTGCTCTGTAAAACTAATGAAGGATGATAATGAGATTGAATAAAATAAATATTTATTCAATTGGCTTCTCTCCAGTGGAGATGGGCTTGGACTTGCAACAGATATTTTGATCACAGCACTGCCATCCTGACTTACCGAGAAAAATGTGTTTGTCTGGTCCAGAAGACTTGGGCAACTTTGTCATTAATAAAACTTTTCCACTGTCAAAACACACCTGTTTTATAGAAACATTTGTTGCAAATGTCCTCAGTCTGGGTTGGGTAGCCAAAAATGCACCAAATAGCCTTGTATTTGGATGTATGGGGCACTTCCTCAGTTAGGAAACTCCAGAAAGGAGACAGAAAGAGAAGACTGTGAGTACTGGAGGAGCGCGTAATCTGTAATTTTGTTCATTTTTTTTTTTCTTGTTTGTTAAATCAAATTATGATTATACGATTTTTATCCTTTTTCCTTTTTCTAATTTATTTTATTTTATTTTTTCCCTAAAACAAAATTGTTTTCCAGGTTGTAGAACTTTCTAGTTATTTCATTGTATTTTTCAATATAAGGAACTTGGAGAGGCTAACAGAATAGAAAAGGCCATTAAAAAATTTGAGGTACAACAAATTAAAAAGTGAACAGGTCCAAAACAATATTCATTTTGTCTCCTTTAAAATTACCATTTATTTCTGAATGAATTTTGAATTTTTCATTGGACTGGAGGAGTAGAGGGTCATATTTCACCCTCTATGCTTCATACATGTTCTTCATAAATGTGTATATTGAGTTGTCCTTATATTCCAGCCACATGTTCTGAAGTCACTTTATTTTCAAGAAATTGATATTATAGTGTTTGAAAACAGTAGAGACTGACTTTTCTGGTAAGTGCACTCTTGAAAGGGGCAAGGAGCCTTCTACTTTATGCTCTTTGTTTCTACCTCCTGTACATACAGGTTGTCTACCCTTCTATTTGATGTTGATCTCTTTGTATCCTGGTACTTATATCCTGGTTATTTTGTTAAAACAATAGATCTGTAGAAAAAGTCATGAAGATGTAGATTATCCATAGGCACAGAAGGAATAGAGTTTGTTACATGCAGGAGACTGACAGCTTTCAGTGGAAATTGGATGGTTCATTTCCTTTATGAGTATCTAAAAATTTTCCATCGCTTTTCAGGATGAGGTTTCGGCCAGACCTCAAAAATTTGGAAAACAGATGAAAGTTGATTGCTTCAGATCAATCTTCATGAGGCAAATTGCTAACAGATAATGGGGTTTGCCCAAGATAAATACTTCTGTCAGACAGCAGATTTAATTCATGCAGGTTTTACCAGTTGTCTTTTTATTAATAAAAACTGCAGTGTAGATTGTGGCATTTCTTTGTAAGATGACTGTGTGTTTGTATTTCATTTGTTGTTTGCCTTACACAGTATTAATTCAAGTAACCAAGTGGAACTTGTTTCACACAGACAACAGCTGAAATCAAAAGAGGTGTGGAGATCATCCAGCCCCTGCTTTTCAAACACAGAAAAGCTTTTTCCAATAATGAAAGATTCTATTTAAAAGTAGATTTATATTAAGCTCCTTTCAGATATTTACATAACTTGTGTGCATCTTCGGGGGGCAAAGAAGCAATTTCAATATCAGGAAAGCTTTATATAAAATTATTTTTTAGAGTCCTCTAGTTTCAGAATCTCCAAAGAATCTTCAGTTCTCCAAAATCATTTATTTCATGCCAGTCTCAATGTCTTGGCTCAGTCCAAGAAAACAGAGCTCTATATGTGACACGTACATAAAATGAAAAGGAATTGTATGCAGATTATTTTGATAGGTTTTCTTTTTGCATTTCTTGTTTATAGATTTTTGTCATAAACCAAATTCCGGAAGACGAGTTTTATTCTGTGGCAGGGGTGCTGCTAGAAATCTTGCCAGTCACTGTGTTTGTATTTCTAGTTTTAAAGACTGAGGTAGTTGGCAACGTACTAAGGTTGCACACCTTACCCGAGTTTGAATGATGCAGAATTTATCCAGCTTTCCATTGCTACTCCCAGCCCTGTAACTTTTTAGACATATATTAGTTATAGCTCCTGAGTTAAAATATTACTTTATGTAATCTGAATAACTTGCTAGATATCAGTTACAGTTACAGATGTGTTTTGATTTTACTTTTCCACTTTGCAGAAGGAGACTGGAAGATTACTGTAGTCACTGGGGATTTTGAAGCAGCTGGCACAACAGCAACTGTATGCCTTTACGTTTATGGAGAAAACAAAGCTTCTGGCCCTATTATTTTGGGATCTGGGAAACACCAGCTGTTTAATCCCAACAGTGAAGATATATTTAAGGTACAGTATGGTTTTTACATAGACACTGGAGAATTCAAAACATGCAAAACAGCTCTCCTCAAAACTGGATAATAACGATAACCGAAGGGACTCGAAGCAATATGTATATAAAAGGATCATTTAGCATTTCTAAGAGAGTGGTGGGCTTTTATGATAGTAAGATTTGAATCAGTAAATGTATTCAAAACTGCTTCAAGCGGACACGCATCTCTTAGAATGTTTAATACTTGCATCTGCTTGATGTGCTACTTTTAATAAAACACTTCATTTGCAGAGACACAAAGTATACTTGCTTGTTCTTTGCACTGAAATAGTAAGATAGTCCTAGTTATTGATTGTATTGTATATCCGCTCTTGGAAGCCTTCAATGTTGTAAATTCCTCCATGAGATTCTTCTGGTTTCCACCCACATACTGTCATGAGAACCTTCTGTTGGATCAGATAAGAAGGAAGGAGAGGATGTATAGGCATTAGAATCAAGTCATAATTGATTGGCTAACTCAAGAGATTTAGAGTACAGATGTCCTACTTCTGAAAGAAAAATTAAAGGGTTGCAACTCTGTGAGAGATGCTTCAGAAATGTGAAATTTTCTAGGGATTTTCTAATTTCCTAATAGTCCCTCCAGTTCCAGTATTTCCTTATGACCCTGTCTCCTGCACTTGTTAAATCTGTAATATGTTATTTAGATTGAAATAATGTATGCGTAATAAACAGACAGAGATTCACTGACAGATGTGACAATAATGTTTTCAGATCTTTTTTATTTTTGTTTGTGAGTTTGAAGTGTAAATATGTAAGTTCTGGCAGAGGGAAGTTAAAGGTGGCCTCTCCCTTACATTTATTTAAGTTGTTGATGACTTGGTTAAAGTTTCCAGGTAACGATGGGTTAAGAATATCTGATATCAAAACAGGGAAGCGTAATCAGTGTACATCTGCCCTTCTGAGTAATATTGCAGTCAGAGGCTTTTCTTATGAAATCTATCTTCCCATATTCTTCTTGGAAGTATTTGGTATGATGAAGCACATGCCAAATACATTTGAGAAACTGTCTTTCATTATCATTCTGCAGAAGATTAGGGAAACAGTTAGCAGTGAGTGGGGAGAAACCAAACACATGACATCTAATGCCAGGAAGAGGCACAGCAGGTGCTTGAACTCTCCTTCTCCTGGATCCTGTGTCTGCAGCACAGTTATTTCTCAGTGTAGGGATTTCTGTCTGAGAGAAGGAAAACCACTGCTTATTGTGAAGCAAGTGCCTGCCTTTCTGACATTACCCTCAAAGCACCCACTGGAGCAGATATATTTTTAGCCCTAGTGAGGAGGTGATCATATACGTTTCACATTCACGTTAGAAATGAGCTTCACACGTAAGGTACGTTCACAGTATTTGTGGAGATGACATCTCTCCTGTTTCTGTTTCCATCATAACTCCTCCCTCCTCCTGCAGAAAGGCTGAGCAGAGAGGATAGTAAAAAAATATTTCTGCTTGATGCTCCATGCCTTCTGCTGCTTCACTGATGATTTGCTGCTCCGAATGCAGTTCTAGATAGCAGACAAAACTTCACTGGAAAAATCTTAACAAATAATCAATAATAGCAGTTGCACAGGAAGAACAGTTAAAAACATAGCCATTGGATTTCCTAGAAGTAAGTCGTGAATATGCAGTAATCTAAAAAATCATGAGAAAAGAATTGTTAAAATTTGATTAAATCCAAGTGTGTTCCTCTATATACTCCTGAGATTGTGTTACTCATCAAGAACCTGATTTTCATGTTGCTTGCATTACTGTGTAAATAAAATGTAACTTGATTAGGTTTGCTTACCTCTGATTGCTGTTTAAGTTATCCTAAAAACTGCTTCACCTTCAGTGTAATATATATATATATATCATATATAGTGTTCATATATATATATATATATATCTAAACACTATCACCTGTAGAGATTCCTGTATGATTGTAGCACGCAACCTTTGCTGAAGGTAATTTAAATGGGGAGAGTTCTTGTTTCCAATTGGAGCCCTAGATTCTAGGTTCCCTCAAGATAGTTCCATGTAAACTGCCCTATATTTGTTCTTGTGGCTTAGGGATTTTCCAAACAGATGGGAAAGTCACAGATAAGCAATATGGAGTGGGGAAAGAAAAGGAATTTAAATTTGATGGGTTTTCCCTTCTGCTCAATAGCTGTTCCTGCATGTTGAAAGAATCTACTTCTAAGCTAAGGTTTTCTGCTTCTGTTACTTTTGAGGCGTAATTTTTAGGGAATAATTTTTCTGTTGAGAGTCATTTCTCTTCCAACAGAGGGACATCAATCTACTATAAGTTGCAGCATCCATCAGAACTGTGTTTCCAGTGCATTTTTCAGTATTTTAAAAATACTGATTTTGGCAGTATGTTAAGTTGCTCTGGTCACTGAAGCTTTAATTATACTGTAAATTACATTTTCCAGAGCTGCGCATTCTGCGTCATCATTCTTTGAAGCATGGTGAATTATCTTTTATGATTACACACTCAGTTTGATAAAGAAATATTTTTTCCATGTTTTTAGTTTAATGTGTGGTTATGCCACACATTCCCTTCTTTGTCCCAAAGAGAACTAAGCAGAAGCTTGTAAGCCCATTATCTTCCAAAAAGTCAGCTTGCAGTGTCTCAATTTTTATTACTTCCATAGAGAAGAATTCCCTACCTTTGGGTACAAGTTCAGCACTTCTAGTAAAAATGAAGTCAGTAAAAACACGGCTGGTTCAGTACCTTTGCTTTCAAACTAGTGTATGCTAGCCTTGCTGAGAGTGGCAGGACTTTGATCCTCCTTAACAAGGATCTTCCCATGCTTTGATATGAGCCATTTACTTTGCTATCTTCTTTGCTATCTCTTTAGAGCAGTGATGGTCCTGTTCTTACTAACAAATTCCCAAATTTGTCTTAAATGGCACTGTAATAAGCTATTGAGAGATCTGAATTTTTCCAAAGATATCTTAAAAATCTTCACTTTGTTATAATTTACAGTCAGTGGCTATCTTTTAAAACACTGAACAACCATTTTCCTTAAGTTTGTGACGCGCATGATACTGCAGGAGGATTGGACTGAAATCTATCACAGGAATGGATTGTACTGCATGAGTATACTTCTGTAGGCTATGAAGCTGCCTCATTGACAGTTAAAAATAGTTAGTTTCTTCATTTTTTTTAATGAGCTACCCTTTCAACACTGACATAGTTTATTTACTCTGTTAGAGAAAAAATGACAGAGAATAATATAGGTAGATGAAAAGCAGGACTCATACTAATACTTGCAGAGACACCCTATTCATTAAATTTAATAAAGACAGTGTTCCTGTGTTGAGGTTGCTACAAGTATTATTACCAGTCACATGTGCCTTATTCATAACAAATTGTTCTTTTCAAGATACTTATGCTGCTTAGCATCACATGATGTTTTTCCTTTTGGTTTCCTCCAGTTTTGATTAAAAATTATTACTTGTTTTAAATAGCCTGTGCAGTAATAACCAACATTCCTTCCTTTAGAATCAGCCTTACAGTTTGCAAGGATCTGATGTTCCAGTGCATGTCTTTCATTCATTCCTGTACCCTAATCCTTATTCACTGTTTCATCAATCAGAAGGGAGATGTCTAAAGTAAAATAAGAAGCGCAGAGAAAACCAAATATTATAAAATAGGTTGAAGCAAATCCATTTTCATGCTTTTCTTCCTGTTTTTGAAATTAAAGAGACTGCAAAGAGCTCAGTGAGAATTGTTCTCAAATGGGAAGATAGTAAAAGTGGCTGCAGGCACTAATATGGCTATTTGGTCTCTTAACCATGGGGCTGCCAGTGCCTAGAATTTAGGCATAGCTTGCATGCTGTTCTGGCCATCATTTGGTCCCAAAGCAGTTGAATAAAACTTGAAGAAACCCAGGTTTCAGTAAGATATGCTTAAGGCACATAAAAGAGACATATTATTGGCTTTAATTCCACTTGGAACTATTCATCTCTCTACTAAATCTATATGATAACATGAACCTTGTTCCTTACTGAGATAAAAGGGAGAAGTATCTCTATCAGCTACATGCTGCGTACAAAGCAAAATTTATCTGGTTCCAAGAAAACAACAAAGAAGGATTTTAAAGAGCTCACAGACAACATATGAGAAAAACAAAATTCAACTCATCTTCAGGAAATGAAAGTGAGTTAACATGATGTTGCTTCCTCATTAATTCTGCAGTAAGGGGTACTACCATATGGTGTGTGTATATATATATATATGCACCATATATAATATGTAGTACCCCTTACTATATATATACTTATATATATATATATGTAAGTATATATACTATACACTCTCTCTCTCTCTCTCTCTCTATGAATATATATTATCCCCTTTTGAGGTGTTTTTGTGAGAGAACTTTGTCATGTTAGTCAATTTCAGGTTAAATCTTTCATCCATATACCTATAAAATTTCCTTTTTGTACCTCTGGACAGTAGAAGATGAAAACATGTCAAAAAACTCTGTGTTTTGAGTGTCTTCTCTCTCTCTCATGTTACACTGCCTACTTAGCTTCCCTTGTCGGCTTCAGGCAGTTGTATATGAGATTTTGTGACATTGTTGTCCTTAGCTAAGGGTCTCCCTGTTAAGATCTCCCCCCATTTTCCCTGGTCAGTTTTATCTTTACTCATCCATGTTTCTGCCTTTCTTTCCCATGAGCCATTTTCTAGTCTATTCAAATCTTTATGTCTCCTATTATCTCTGTATCTGAACATTTTTCAGGCATGAATATATGACTAATGTTCATGCATACTCTTACAAATATTTTTTTTGTTTGAACTTGGCATGACTTTATAGAAGAGGATATACACTTTAAAAGTGCAGCGCTTACGCTAGACAAAGTGAGATCAATGTATCTTGCATGAGAACAAAATAAGGTAAAGTTTATGATGGCCTATGCTTGATATGACTAGTTCCTTGACAGCCTTCTCATTATTTTGTGTCCTCTGAAAAT